TAAACTCCTTCTTCTAACCAGCTGTTCTATTATCTTAGGCATCCTCTGTCCCAAAACTAAATGAGGGGTGAGCTGGTCTCCCTGACCTCACACCTTTTGCTGCCCTGCTGATAAACTCACGAGTCCATATTCTTTCATGAGTTTTTAATAATAAAAATGAAAGTAATGAATATGACAAAGTTCTCCAAACGAACACGGCAGTTCTCCAAAACTAAAGAATCTTACCAAGTTCTTATAGCCATTGTCCCAGGTCTACAGTCTCTACAGTTTCTGACTGCCTTGCTCATCTAGAACTCAAGAGCCTGAAGTTCCAGCTAAGGCAAGTTCTCGGGGCCCCCACTGGATGACATTCATCTCAAAAACCCTGCCTCCCATGTGAAGGGTCACTCAGGCCTTTCCTCGTAGGTGCTTTTCTTACTCTTACCTTTCTAGAAACTACTTGGAGAAAATACATTTCTCCCCATAATTCACCAATAAATTATGGCTAGATTACTGCAAAGTTCCTCTCATGGGCAGTTCATTCAGTACCTGCCCACACTAACTTTCCTCCTAAAAGAAACTGTCCCACCCTGGGCACAGATGATTGGACCAATGACAAATGACAATGGTAATGGTAACTGACCCCAGGGTTAGCCTTCTTCATGAGGTCAGCAACTCATGAAGTTGCCTCGCATGGAAAGCTCTTTTCAAACAGCAATAGTGGTGACTGGCTGGGTCAATCAAAAGATCTCTTTCTGGACTGGGAAATTCTGGCATAGAAGCAATCTATGGATAATAGCAAGAGAGCTGAAAAGAGAAGAAGAAAGTGAGGGAACAGCTGAGGATCAGCGATGGTGTGACAACTAAAAACCTTTACCACCGGATTGGGTAGAGAACACCAAGATACTCTGATTCCCATTGATTTCAGTCCCACAAAGGTGGTATCGGCTTCTGTGGATGTTCTAAAATAACAAGATAAAGTGCCAACTCTGGCACACTTTTCTCTATCTATAATCCTGAGTTAATTAAATATAGCACCAGTCCAATTCATTCTACTAACCAAGTGTCATATGAACACGATAAAACAAAACTTTAAATCATGGTCTCTTATAATTCTAATCCAGGTAAAAGCAAAGATTTGGGGATGGCATAGGAAAATGTTCTCACAGCTCAATGTCAGCCCAGTTTACTTAAGGTACAAATTGCCCGAAGTAAAGTTAAAATTAATGCACAAATAATGGGAAGAAAATTCTATCCATCTATTATGTGCCAGGCATTTTACAAATAGCATCTCATTAAATCCTCATAACTCTCCCTAAAAGGTAGGTATAGGTATTGTTATCATCCTAATTTTACAAATAAGAAAGCTGAGGCTCAGACAATCTAAATAACCTCTCCACATCCACACAGCAAATAAATGATTGAACTGGGATTTAAACCCAGGTTCTGCCTGACTCCAGCACCCATGTTCTTTCCACTCTACCACTCTGCCTTATAAGAGACCATTAAGATAATTCGACATGTTCCACTTCTCAGGAGACCCCAACAACATTATGCAGCCATCAAAAAGGCTCTATGCAGGGGCACCTGGGTGGCTCAGTCGGTTAAGCATCCTACTCGGTTTCGGCTTGGGTTGTGCTCTTGGGGTCGTGCTCTCGGGGTCATGAGTCGAGCCCCGGGTCGGACTCCAGGCTCAGCAGGAAATCTGCCTGGGAGTCTCTGCCTCTCCTCTCTCTGTCCCTCCCCACCCTCGTGCTCACTCTCTCTCTCTCAAATAAATAAATAAAACCTTAAAGAAAAGAAAGAAAAGTCTCTATGCATACTGATCTGTAACAATCTCCAAAATATATTGTAAAGCCAAGAAAAGCAACATGCAAAATAGGGTGTATAGTGTGCCAACATTCACGTTTAAAAACTGGAGACAATGAGTGGGAGTGATATATGCACATATACATTGTGCATAGGATATGAAGGAAAGCAAGACATGGTCAAAAGTGAACAGGGCAAAATGTTCCACTGTTTCCCCTTCTGTTTTCTGAATTTGGAACAAGGGTATGTTTTATTCATTCAAATGAATAAATACTTTTTTAAAACCACAAAGTGATTTCAACAACCTATAAACTTCTGTCCCTTGTGGTGCTTTCAAGCATGAAGATATTCCCAGTTTTCTACATCTAAGACTTCAAAGCAAGTCATCCAGAAGCAACAGAAATCAGAAAGTGGGTTAAATAGATACCCAGACGCCCAGAGCACTCTTCTCTTGTTTTCAAAAGAATTAACACTCATAGGAAAATGAGTAAAATAGCCTCAAAGAGAAACTTAGTATTTTTTGCCTAGAAAGTGAATGAGATTTGGAAAATTTTAAGGTGAGGGAATACCAGAATAGGGGAATCAATAATAAACTGAGCACGCTCTATCTCTATCCTGTCTCTGTCTTCCTCCTCCTTCCACCTCTGATTAAAACCAAAATCTCTATTGAAGCTCACCACTTAGGAGAAAATGAGGAGGAGGTGGAGGAGGAAGAGGACGAGGACAAGGAGAAACTTAATGCCAAAGTAATTTCCAGATACATTAAAGATTTAAGTATCAAAGCTGTGGATATAACAAGACTAACAGAAATTATAAGTGAATAAGTATATACTTAAGCAGCGGGGAAGGTCTTTCTAAAAACACATAACAAAGGCAAAAAACATCAAGGAAATGATCAACAGATCTGACAAAACACAAATTTTAAATTTTGTACATTAAAAAAAGTCATAACCAAAAATTATGAGTCAAATAACCAATGGAAAATATTTGCAACATTACAAAACTCTTTACTATCTAAAGAGTTTTTACTAAAATCACCCAAAACTGAAAGGAGAACAAGAAACAGAAACACAAACTCCCTCCTCCATGAAACTGGGAGTTATCAGTAACCCCAAACCACAGACTATGAAGACTGGCAAATGGCTTTGCTGAGAGGAAAGAGGTCAGACCAAGTGCCTACAAAGGAGTTTGTCCCTCAGAACCCCAGAAAGCAGGAATATTAAAGTCCCAGGGAAAGAGCAAGGCCAGGGCAGGTGAAGAGTGCTCTGGGCATCTGGGTATCTATACCACCCCTGGTATCAGCCCCACCTTAAGAAGAATTTAAGCCTGTTGGGACTCCTCCCCACCTCTTGTGATCTAACAACTCCACTCCCACTAGAAAAGAAGATTTATCCTCTGGGGAAACCAGACCAGAGAGGTTCTGGACCAGGGACACCAGAAATTGAGGAAGACACATGAGGACATCATACTGAAAATAAGGAGGCTAAGTAAAGATTTGTAAATACTCCCACACCCTCACACCCAGTGTAGAATACATGCAGCTGTCTTCTAGTCCCCAGGCAAAAGCTAAACTAAATAGAGGCCCTATCAGGGAAGGATTTCCCTGAGGTTAGATTGTTGGAGCAGTACGGGCAGGGGTGGGAAGTGGGATGAGATAGGGCTGCTGAGAGTGAGGTTGCGGAGTCCCTCCCTCCACAGAAAGAAGAGTATTCCCCTGTGGGTTAGTAAGGCTGAAGGGGTAAGCAGGTCAGGACGGAGAAAGGGGGAAGGCTGTTTGTGTGTGTGTTGGCGGGGGGTGCAGTAACTGACTTGGACACATCACCAGAAGGCGTGACCAGCCCTGACGGAAAATGCCCTGAAGAAACTGAGACAATAAAATTGGCAAACAATTATTCGGAACTAATCAGTGCTGTTTCATAGAGTTTCCTCCCTCTTTCTACTCTCCCTTCCTTGCTGGACTCCACAGATCCTGCCTAGACTCCAGCTTCAACAAAGATAATCCCACTGTCCATGGTCTTGATTCATGGCCCCTCATTCCTCACCTTCCCAGACTTTGTTTTGTTTCCCCTTAACTGCTGACCTACAGAGGATCCAAGAGGATACCACCTCCCAAAGTCCCAAACCATGCACAAGATCTGATGTTTGTCCCAGTCCCTGGGAATGACTGGGCTTGTCCCTGGACTCTGTCATAAATCTCAACCTCAGTGAGACACTCTCTGCTTAATCTGGCGAAACCAAGTTCAAGTGTACTTTTAGACCTAGGCAAAGATGGTAATGGGGGATGGAGTCCCTATGATAACTATGGATGCAACCAACAGAATCTATGGGTCTAATTATCCCATGAAGCTAAATATAATTGTAATCGGATTGAAACAAACATAGTCAAACGGAAACCATAAAACTTAATCCCGAGGGTTCTCTCTTTTATCTTCTGTAATAACCCTCATGAAAAGTGCTCTTCTTCCACACCCACCACAAAGTGCTGACCAGGCAAGGTCCTGTGTGCCCCAAAATCTAGACACTGCTCCCAGAGAGACTGCATGTTGTACTGCAAAAATGTAGCTCCTGGACTCGGAAAGCCCAGGGTTCAAATAACCCACTCTCTGTACATTATTACTCTTCCCTCCTGTAAAGTAGGGAGAAGTAACTATCTCCCCAGGTTGTGCTAAGGATTAGAAGTTATATATATGAGGGGTGCTTGGGTGGCTCAGTCGGTTGAGCATCTGGCTCTTGGTTTCAGCTGGGGCTGTGCTCTCGGGGTCCTGGGGATTGAGCCCCACATTGGGCTCAGGGATCAGCGCAGTCTGCTGGAGATTCTCCCCCTGCTCACTCTCTCTCTCTCTCTCAAATAAATTTTTAAAAATCTTAAAAAAAAAAGAAGTTACGCATTGAAGTGTTGACTGGAACCCTGGCTCCAATTAGCCTTCAGCAAATTATAGTCATTGCTGTTAGGAACCAAGTATAGATTCCAGGCACCATGCTGTCCTGGCTTAATGGCATTAAGAAGTCAATGCCACATCTCACCACCTCTCAGGAAATTTCCAAAGGAGTCTCTTCTGACTTTCAAGTAAGTAGAGGCCCAGCTAAGTGTGTGTGTGAGGGTAGTGTATATATGTGTGCCAGGTATGAGCTTGGGAGCCAGTCCAGGCAGATTTCTGAGGAGTCGCTGCTTTCCCCTGCTCCAGAGGAGAGCATTGAGACTGTTCACACACCTGAAAGAGGTTAGCAGCTTCCAGGACCCGCTGCACATTCTGCTTGGTGATCAGCGCCTTGCTGGTGTAGGTGTAGTCCAGAAGAGTGTGCATGGTCTCAGCATCGACCCCTTTGATAATGATCCTCTTCTCATACTTTTCCTTTAAATCGTTGCAGAACATGGCCCTGGAAGAAAGATGAGTGAATGTGAGTCCTCCCGTGATTCTTAGTTCTAGATCAAAATAGATCCCCCCTCACACCCATCTGCCCCCATGGAACTGCGAGGTTCCCAAGGTCAGGACCCAGGATGATTGTTCTCTGTTCCTCCAATACCCAGCACGCACCAGAAATTCAATCAAAACTTACTGAACAGAACTGTCCTGCTCTGCTGTGCCCACCTATGGTCCCTATAGCAGTCCCAGATCTGAAGGGACAGTAGGAGCCCTACTGGCCAAGCTGGTGGGATCTCGAACTACTTTACTGGCCCAAAGAACTACTTCAATGGCTCAGAGTGCTGGAGATTCTTCTGGGAGCATTGTGGGGCCCCTCCCCTGCTCAGGCCTCATCTGTACTTTTTTAATGACTAGGTACCCCACAAGAGGGTTTCTGACTTCATTCTCAGTCCTCATTCCAGCCTTCCTCTGGCCTGGAGGCTGTCCCCACACCCAGGCCTGGCCAGCTGGGGCTCAAAATCCTGAAAGGGATTTAAATATCAAGCAGTCTCTGGACTTCATTGTGTCCCCCTAAAATTCATATATTGAAGCCCTAACCCACCAACTTAGATAGCGCTTTTAGGAGATAGCTAAGGTGAAATGAAGTTGTAAGAGGGGGGTCCTAATCCAATAGGATTGGTGTCCTTAAAAGAAGAGGAAGAGACACCAAAACTCTGTCTCTGCCGTGTGAGCACACAGTGGCTGTCTGTAAGCCGAGAGTCCTCACCAGATGCTGGCCATGCTGGCACCCTGATCTTTCAGTCTCTAAAACTGTGAAAATATAATAAATTTCTGTTGTTGAAGCCACCCAGTCTATGGTATTTTTTTATGACAGCCCAGGCTGGCTAATACAGACAGTCTCTCCCCTAGCCCCTAGCAGGGACACATATGCACAAATAATAGTCTACAAAGGTCAAAAAGACTTACAAAGTGCTGTGCTGGCCAGGGATCGCTGCTCATGGAGAAGGAAAATGTTGCTATGTGAAAACTGTGAATAGGACTTCGGGAAGTAGATGCAAGAGTGTGGGGCATGCAGAGGATCTAGCAGGCATGTGGTTTGGCTGGAGCCCAGGGGCTATGAGAGAGGGTAGGGAGAGATCAGTGCAGCCAGATAACCTGGGTCCTAATTGTGGAAGGTACTGGAGGCAGGCTAAGGAGTTAGGTTTTTACTCAGTGGGCAATGGGGAGCCATTGAAGGGAGCAGAAACAGGACTCAAAAAGAACATTTTTAACGGGTGTGTTCTCACTTTAGTTTGCTGGTGACAGGTGCTTTTAGAGTAATGCATTAATTGCACCCAAACAGAGCTGGGAGGCTTGTGACAATGCCAAAGCCTCGTCCCAGAAACTGTACTAATTGAGGCAGTCACCATCCTACTAGGCGACTGGACCTCCTGAACTTCAGACACATGAACAGGACCCTTAGAGAGCCATTATCTCCCAGCCAGGTCATTGAAATGGGAAGGCCCCAGGGTTCAGCCCCGATGATAGAATGCACTTCCCCAAACTGGGACTTCCATGTCAACACAGAAGCATTTACCCCTAAATCCTGCTCCTCCTCCTTTCTCCACACCTCCTATTTATCTCTGGGAATCCCTCATCAGTTTCTTTCCCCCATTTCCTAATCTGCAAAACAAAAGTAACTGTTTCTGGTTTCCCAGGAACAATCATAAACATTAAAAGTCAAAAGGCCCAGAAAGAAAGAGATTGAGAAAAAGAAAGAGAAAGAAGAGAGAGAGAGAGAAATCACTTGACTAGCTGACTTTCTGAACCTTTTGTTTTAACCAATGAGATCTTCTCCCTAGGGTCTCTTTGTGTCCTTCCCAGCTCCTTACTGTAATCAATAATAATCCTCCCACCCTTCTCTCTTTCCTCCTCTTCTCTCCCCTCAACTGGCCTCTTTCTCCTCGAGATTATGACAGCAAGAAAGAAAGAAAAGGGGTGTCTGGGTGGCTCAGTCATTAAGCGTCTGTCTTCGGCTCAGGTCAGGATCGAGCCCCACTTCGGGCTCCCTGCTCGGCGGGAGGCCTGCTTCTCCCTCTCCCACTCCCCCTTGCTTGTGTTCCCTCTCTCGCTGTGTCTCTGTCAAATAAATAAATATAATCTTAAAAAAAAAAAAAAGAAAGAAAGAACAAATGTGAATTCTGCAAAGTTACTAAATCCCAACTTGGAAGCAGAGAGGCAGTGATGTCATTTGGGCAGATGGCTGATTTACAAGCCACTTTTGTCAACCATAACTCCTCTTGGCCAGAGAGGCATAGAGTCATCTGCAGAACCACGTGCCTTTTAAAGTGGTATCACATAGGACTCACCTTGCTGCCTCCGCATCCGATAAAGAACCCTGCCATCACAGCAAGGACACAATTTCTTCCCAGCTAAGCCTGTCCAGGATTTGGACAACTTCACTTGCTAAACCTTCCCTTTTTTGAGTCCCTAGAGCAGCGCCGCCCAATAGAAATATAATGCAAGCCATATGTGTAATTTCAGATTTTCTAGTAATGATGTTTTTAAAAGTAAAAAGAGATAAAGTTAATTTTATTTAACCCAATACACCTCAAATGTTATTTCAACATGTAATAAATACTTTTAAATTATTAATGAGATAATTTACATTCTTTTTTCCACACTGAGACTTCAAAATCCCTCATGTATATTTTGTACTTAAAACACATCTTGATTCAGACCAGTCATAATTCAAATGCTCAATAGCTGTATGCAGCTAGTGGCTATTCTATTAGATGGCAAAGTTCTAGAGCACCACCCAGATCACCAATCATCTCAGGGGGTAAAGTGAATGCCACCCACATGAATGTCATGTACATCAATATGGAAAACAGAACATCTGGCAGGAGAGGGTGGGCAGTGATGATGGGGTTGAATGAAGCTTCACATAACCGAGGCAACATATCAACAGAGTCCCACCAAGGTGAAATTTAGAAGTGCTATTTCACCTACAATGTGATTTTAAGATTAGTAAAAGGTGAATTTTGTTGAATCTGTATGCTCCAATGAAAACTGGAAAAGCCCAATAGAGAGATGTTCTAATATTAAATAAGATAGGTATATAAATGTCTAAGTCAGTGCCTTGCACTTTGAGGGGCTCTTTTGAAGCCTATGTATTTCCCATGTGACACAATTATTGGGATCTCTGTGGTCATCTGGACTCTTGATCAGGTTGTCACTGCTAGACACAGCTTCTGAATTCTCTCTTGGAATCAGTCACTGAATAACATCCTGCTCCAGCTCAGCCCCTACCCGAGTGGGACTCTTGATTGCTCAGAAGCTGACCCTTGTGAGCTAGTGATGTGTTAGGGATATAGGAAGAGCAGGACAGGGGAAAGGAGGAGGTCAAGCAAGACAAGTCAACAGAAAGTAACTCTGCTTGATCCTGCATGGGACTGCTGGAGAATACACTCCAGAGTTGTCCCCACAAGAGGCAAAGAAGCTGGTCTGTAATTCTCCAGCACCTGCTGACAGTCTTAGTTATGGGCTGCCCCAGAAGTAGGTAAATTCTCAGGCACTTCTGGCTTTCTGTGTGTGTGAGTGGATGTGTGAACAAGCAAAGGGGCTCTAGGAGGCTAGGAGAGGGCAGGAAGAAAAGCCTGCAGTGCTGGCTGTTGGAAGGCAAAGGGGGTTGTAGTCTAGTGTAGGCTCTGATGCTACCTCACTACATGACTTGGTACAAGTGAGCAAACCTCAATTTCCTCCTATGTAAAGTGATATGATAATAGTCCCTACCCCAGTGAGTTGTTGGGAAGATTAAGTAAGATAATATAAACAAAGTGGTTAGCACAATACCCAGCACTTACTAAGGGAAGGCATTTTAGACCAGATCAGAGGAATCTTGGCAGACTAGTGGGAGATACTTGGAATAGGCAGGCCCATCACACTCTGTCTTGCAACTCTTGACTTGCCAGCATTTGGCCTGGTGCCTATCGGGTAAGTGGGTGTCAGAGTCACTGCACTCTGTCCACTACCTCTCCAGAACAGAGTTAGGGCTAGGGCTACACACAGTCTGGTCCAGAGACATTAGCACAGTGCCTGTCACACAGTAGGAGCTCAATAAATGTTCATGGGAGAGAGAAAGGAAGTGCCCTAAAGACAGAGCCCTCTCTCTAGGGCTCTTTTTGCCTGCTTTGGCTCCCAAAGTCCCAGTATTTTTCTGCTCTCCTCTGAGACTTTGTCACTGATTTTCTGTCACTTAAATACACTCTCCTGGGCCACAATCATGCTCAATACTGACAAGGTAAAACTAGAAGAGATCTACATATTTCTCATAGACCAAACTCCCAGGCCTCCTGCTGCTCTCTTGGGCAGTCCATACAAACACTTAGGCAAAGTTGGGACCCCATGAAAGTTATATAACCTATGTAAGGTAGGTCACCCCTAGATTTCCACTTTAATAATAGTAATCTCTTACATTTATGTTTGTAGCACTTTATGGGACAAAGAACAGTATCTTCTTTGATTATTATACCCATTTCATAGCTGATAGACTATAGAGGTAGAAGTTAAGTGAATTGCCCAAGGCCATACAGGTTGTCAGTAATAGAATGGAGATGAGAATCTAGGACTTTGGGCTCTTAGTCTGGAGCTCAACAGTGTTCTGAAACCAAGAAAATCAGCAGGAGTTCAAGGCCACCTTTGGGGGCGTCAACTGAATGAGCACCAAGTGAACCAGACCAAGTTTTGCTCTCTGAAACAAAGCTGAGTTAATTGCTAATCATTTACTCCTTGGCTTATACTTGAGATAAATAAAATTTTTGTGTAATAAAAAATACTTTCTACAGACACTGACCAATTCTCATGAGATTCTTGTAAAACAGAGGTAGCTATTAAGATCCTCAATTTATAACAGAAATAGTCTCAAGCAGGGAGCCAGTTGCCCAACACTCAGCAGTGAGTCAGTGCCAATCCCAAAATAGAGGCTGGGCAAGTGAGCTCGTCTCCCACAATAGCCATAAAAAACTCCATGGG